AGGAGCAGAGATTTAAGCTTCGTGGGGAAAGTTTGCAAAGGTCACGACACCAAGTGGCAGGTCCCGCCCCGAGGCCCAGAGCTGTCTCCACAGCAGACTGAGTCTGATTTATAGAAAAGCTACAGCATTAATGTTGTGACCTGAACGGCCAAGATCGAGGCAAAAAAAATAAAATAAAACAAAATAAAACAATATAAAATACTTCACGACTATCAGCTGCAGTTCTAACCTTGCATATGAAACGCAACTCCACTGTCATTTTTTTAAATAATATTTTTTTGGGGAAAGCTTCCAAACTATAACAATAAAACTGAAGCACTTGTTAATTATTATAAGAGGAAAAAATGTAACAATGCCCTTAAAGTTAGAAACATCATAGAGCCAAGACTCAGACTCTCCAAAGGAAACCTGTCATGTTGTCTCTCTCTGCTCTGTTCTGCGGCATATATATAATTAAAGTGACCTCACATGAGATATTAATCAGCAGTGCTGAACACAAATGTTGCGCTCGCGAGTGCATGTTTCAAACTTGCAATCAATACGCGGTTTATTAGAGACCTTAATAAACATGACGGTGGATATGACACTCGTTTTGAGTGAATCTGTTTCTTTTTTTTAGTGTAAATAGAAGCATTTATTTACAGGCCCACGCGTGCCACGCGAGGAAGGAGGGACACTGCTTTTCTTTTCCTTTTTCCTGAAAACTGAATCCATTTTTGTTTTCTTGTTTACCTTAATTTTATTTTAGTCTGCCTAAATGAAGTCGTGAAACAAATCTATTTATTTCCTTCTCTGCTTATACAGTAAACAGCCCGAGTCAGAAGATAATCACTGGTTAAGACTCGCTTACAGCCGCCAGGCAAACACAAACAAGCCGCTGAACAAACGCTCCACGAAGCAACACTAACACACAAAGACACACACATAAAATAAAAATAAAATGAAGAAATGATAAGTCAGTTAGTTGGAGTTATTTAGCACTAGTGCGCACTGGTTTAAGATAGAGTCTGCAGTGTTAGTGCGTGGTGTAAGTGTAGCAGGGCTGGCTCGGGTTATCTGTGAATGGGCTCTTTATTGGAGGCGCGGAGCGGGGATTTGCCTTTTATTCGCCTCGCTATGGAAACGCGCTCGACGGCAGAAAAATGTTGACGCGAATAAAAGGAATCGGCACAAGGAGCAGTTTCTAGAGAAGCATCTGTTACACTTAGAAACTTAGACTATCGAGAGCAATACAGCCCCCTCTCAAAGTCCCTCTCCTGTCTGCTTTATGCACCACAAAAAAACCCGCAGACTTCATCTTTGTTAAAGACCCGAAAATGAAAAAGAAAGAGAAAAAAATGTTTTTTATATTCAAATTTAGTTCGAGTAAATCTGAATTTAAAATCTTACATTTTGTTCAATTTTTCGTCTTACATATAATTAATTAATTGTTTTTTTTTTCAGGAAGATCCTTTTTTATTTCTTTTGAAATGGAGACCCCCATCCTCCAAAATCAATTCACGGTGCGTGTCATTTAATATGACACGTATGAAACTGCGGGAGTCTGCTATTGAAAGCCGCTACTAACGCTGCGCAATAACTTTATATTTTGCATTTAATTCTCTCCCCCCCACCTCCAGTCCCATAACAGCTCCAAACGAAGCAACCCAATTCAGCAAACTAGGCCACTGGAACAACACTGCCATTCACATCAAATATTCAGCCACTTTCACCCAACTTCCACAGACACATAGGGAATTTACACGTAAGGCCGCAGCAGAATGAGAATAAAGACACGACAAAACGTATCTGATTAATTATCCTTCCATCCACAGGCGAATCTACTGCACCATGTAAGAGTTAAGAGCGCAAACATCCTGCCATCCTCACAGCTAACTGCCCGTCTGTCACCCCCACCCCACCACGGTTATCGAGGCCCCGTCCACCCTCCAGCACATCCCTGTCCGAAGTTCTATAGCCCGCGGTCAGCTCACCTTGCTCCGGCCTCCTCCTATGTCTTCCACCAGCAGCGTGTAGCTCGGCTATACTCGGCGCTCTTTAATGACTTTCTGGTGGCTGCAGCCTTCTTTTATTTCTTCTAAATGTATGAAAATGTATGCAAATTTAAATCAAGCTTAACCTGGGAGCTCGAGCAATATATTTAATGGAATTTCAGACCAATAAGGAGATTGCAACGCAGTCTTCTAATGGCAAATATAATTACGCCGCTAAGTTAGCTCGCTGATTTGCAGATCTTTTTTTCCCCAACTCTGAGAAGACCTGATGAGATTCTTAAATACTGGGAGTGATAAGTGTCTACTGGCTGTGCTCGCGTTTATCTCTTTGAACGTGTGTAACATGGAGACGTTTTCCTTCTGGGAAAATGTGTCAGGTGAGCAGATGTGGATTTTGGGCTCTTGTAGAAATATTATTTCATATCTCTATGTGTTTTATGAATATTCCAGTTTTGGAGAGAAAGACGGCAAGAGTAAAGTCAAACATGTGTGTTATATTTTCACAAGCTCGGGATTATGGATAGCCCGTGCGTAAAGCAATTTTGCCTGAAACACTCTCTCCAGACGTGTCATTCTACAAACACCTGAGGAAATATTCTCCAAGTTAATAATTAGCAGTGAGAACTGCTCTTAGTTTAATTGTATCCTTTCAAATTAAGTGCTGGCACGTCTAAGAAATGCCATTGCGCTTTAATCTCCTTCTTTGCGCGCGCTCAAGGGTGACAGGAGCAGCAATAAACTCGTGCGTAAATCAGTTGGAAACTTTAATTAATAAACAGGAACTGCGCTCCACGCTCACATCATTCCACAGCCAGACCCACTGGACCAGCACTCCGACACACTTCCGGTTCGACAGCCTGTAAACCTTTTCCTACCCGCAGCTCTGCTGCCGGAGGCGGAGGTTTCGGGTGTGCGCCGTCATTGGCGGAGACGTGTCGTCACCGCGTCTCGGTCGGACTGTGAGTGGTGGTGTAGGCTGTCAGTCACTCCCAGGCTGCTGCTGAGCCTCCGGAGAGAGGGAGATGTCAGAGGCTGAGCGGCTCCCTCTCTTCAGTAGCATTAGTGGGGTTGAGCAGCCAGCATGGCCACAGCTGCCTCTAGCCCCTACACCCTGCTCAGTTCCAGTCCCATGATCCACCCGGAGAGCCAGGCCATGCAGCCTGCTAGCCCCTACAGAGGACATCAGAAACTGCTCCAGAGTGACTACCTGCAAAGTGTCCAGAACGGGCACTCCCTCGGGCACCAGTGGGCAAGCAACCTGTCGGAGGGGAGCCCCTGGTCGGCCTCCATGGAGCAGCAGGACGTGAAACCGGGCCGAGAAGACCTCCAGCTCGGCATCATCCATCACCGCTCTCCGCACGTAGCGCATCACTCTCCTCATCACAACAACCATGGCAACCACCCGGGAGCCTGGGGGACTCCGGTGTCCCACAACTCCTCGATCACCAGCGGGCAGCAGATCAACATCTACTCCCAGACGGGCTTCACTGTCAACGGCATGCTGGACCACGGGGGACTCACACCTCCACCCAACCCGCAGGGCCAAGGCATGCACCCGGGCCTCAGGGACACACTTAGCCCCGAGCACAGCGACCTCGGCGGACACCACTGCCACGACCACTCCGACGAGGAGACGCCGACTTCGGACGAGCTGGAGCACTTTGCCAAGCAGTTCAAACAGAGGAGAATCAAACTGGGCTTTACGCAGGCGGACGTGGGTTTGGCTCTGGGCACGCTGTACGGTAACGTCTTTTCCCAAACTACTATCTGCAGGTTCGAGGCTTTGCAGCTGAGCTTTAAAAACATGTGCAAACTAAAGCCGCTGCTGAACAAGTGGCTGGAGGAGGCGGACTCGTCCACGGGCAGCTCCAGCAGTATAGACAAGATAGCAGCTCAGGGGAGAAAGAGGAAGAAGAGGACGTCCATCGAAGTGAGCGTGAAGGGAGTTCTCGAGACGCACTTTCTCAAGTGTCCCAAGCCTTCCGCGCAGGAGATCACGTCGCTGGCGGACTCGCTTCAGTTGGAGAAGGAGGTGGTGCGCGTGTGGTTCTGCAACCGGAGGCAGAAGGAGAAGCGCATGACACCGCCCGGAGAGCAGCCGCCCCACGAGGGACCCTATTCTCACAGCGGGAGCGCGGGAGACGCCTCCTCGTGCCATGATCTCTGACCGAAGCACCTGGAGGAATCCCCCCCACGCCCCCCACCCCCTCCGACACACACCTCCACCTCCACCCGGTGCAGACTCTCGAGCGCACGGACGCGCGGTGGCACCTTGTAGCCCTCCGCACCTGTCCCGGTACAGACTCGCCCGGATGCCTCCAGCACTGAAACAATAACAGAGATACCTGTTCAGCCTTCGTCATTGTTTTTCCTGCCACGAGGGCATTATCCTATAGCGGCATATCAAACATCACATTCCAGATCACCTTTCTTTTTCTATTTTCTTTTTTGGGAGAGCCCGCCACTTTTTTTTCTCTCCATCACGGATATACATACAAAAAAATGTGCCTAATAACCTGCCAGCGCCTTTGGTTTGTGTGTGTGTGTGTATGCGTGTGCGTGTGTGTGTCACCGTTTTTAACATCAGCTCGGTAATAACGATAAGATGGGACTGATGGTTTTGTTTTTATTGTTGTTTTCGTGGCTTTCCTCACACACGCCGTGCTCCCGTTGTACCCATGATCGGCGGCGTGGAACCAGTAATAATAACAACAACACCAACAATAATGATAATAATAATAATAATAATAATAATAATGTTACTGTTCTTAATTGATTTGTACCAGCACCAGAGGCCATTTTTTACACTCCACCTCACGCTTCCCCCTCGGGCTTTTCCAACGCCTTAGTTCTCCTCATATTTACAGTCATTTACTTTGTAACGTAGAAGATCTGTATTTTTTTTTTCTTTTTGTGCATTTGCAACCTTAGGCCCTCATTCCAGCTGTGCACCCACTCTACATGACTCTTGGAGGACTGTTTTGCTTTCTTTTACTTTTGGCCTGTAGCTTACGAGGGTTGTACGAAGCCACGCGCAGTTGCAGCTCTATTTATTCATTTACTTCTTTTTTTATTTCGATCATCTTCGACCATTTAAACTGTGCGGACTCTGAAAAAGGACACGAAAGAGCCGAGAGTCTAGAAAGCAACGCTATACACCTGCCTATAATTTTAATGTACGTTCACTATCGAAATTTTATAATCTTAAATACTCCTGTTATTTGGTTTATTTCTTAAGTATTTTTTCGAATATTGTACAGTTTTATATATTACCCTTTTGAAGTCATTAATTTAAATAAATGATCTTAGTTATTCACGCACTTGATTAGCAGTGTTTTAAAAGAAAGAAAAAAGCAAACAAACACGCGAAAAATTAAAAAATCAAAAAACAAAGAAAAAAAATTATTTTCAATAAGACTGAATGAACTGTTTCGGCGGTTTTATTCCAAATTTCAATGACAGCTCAAGTAATTATTTATTTTCAGTATAAAGCTTGTATTATGTTTTTGAAATAAACTATGTATGTTGTAATAAACCATTTCTTGCTACAACTGCTCACTGTCCGAAGCAGAAGTCAGCTTCTGATTTTCTTTTTTTCTTTTTTTTTAGAAAAGTAAAGACTATTCAGAAGTTGTTTTTTTAAATCACAGCTTCCTCTTATTGTTATGGAAACAAAGCAATAATTTAAATGAATCACAGCACTTTAAAAAAAATATTGCTTTTAAAAGCTTGTATATAATGTGGAGCATTCTGTGTGGGAAATGGTTCGAGCTGAGCTTGTGATTAATTCTGCAAAGTCACCAGATCAGTCCCTTAATGCTGCGTTCAAACTCTTATATTTAGGTGAATTATATTGTTAGGCGGCGTAACCTTCACTTGGCCTCAATGTCATGTCAAGAGGCATCTTTTGCCAAATAAATAACAAATAAATAAATAAATCTCTACAACTAACAGCTGTAAAATATCCAGTGGTTCACAGAGACCCTGCACTGCAAACTGAGACGCTTTCTCCTGCAGTTCCACTGAAATGTTATTGTCCGGGCCCTCTGCCCTTCTCAATCAGACATGCGTGATTTATCGCCTGGGCCGCTGGGCCTGACAGCAAAACACAATGACACACATATACTCAGACACACACACACACACAATCAGAAGCAGATGAATCTCATTTCAAAGGCTATGGCTGTGTATAATTGGCCGTGCCAGGGCAAAATAAAGCTGTACTCCCCCTTTAGAAAAAAGAAAGAAAAACATCATAATGCCCCAAAATAATTTAGGGATGGTTTTGGAAATAAGTAGATGCATTCAGTACTGCTTAAATGTTTCAAAAATAGATCTGGAGAGGGAAAGTGAAAGAGGGAGAGGGAGGAGAGGAGAGGCGGAAGGGTGCTAGGCCTTGCCTTGAAATGGGGAGCCTGACTGGAATACTAATGTGTCTGAATTTATGCATCTCCTCAGTCTGCAGCCCTGAGAGGGGGGTGGGGGAGACAGAGAGAGAGAGAGAGGAGAGAGGAGAGGGAGGAGAAGGGGAGAGAAAAGGGTGTGAGGGTGGAGGTGAAGAGGAGGAGGGGGGGGGGTAATGTAGAAGAAGAGAAAAGTAAAACCATGGCTGATTGATTCTATCCATCTATTTTAGTCTGAAATAATCCCCAGCTTCTGGGAGGAAGAAAATGACCCTGGAAGGAAGGAAGAACCCAGAAGCCGAGCAAATAAAGCAAAGCAAGCCAAGGTCCACGGCGGCGCTGCGGTATCCTTGAGCCTCTTCCACCTCTCCTTCCCCATGCAAACCCATCCAAATATGTTTTTAAAGAGTAACCAGCACCTCGGCGTGAATAACTTACCAGTTTTAAAAATGACTGACTTGGGGAGATTGTGTAAAGGATATTGAGTAAAGAAGAAGAAGGGAAAAAAGATAACAGGTGCAAGATGAAAGCATACTTCAGAGGTATTGAATGATGAACTTCAGGTAATTATTTTTCAAAAAAAAAAAGGAGAAAAAAACGCTTCAGGTTGGCTCGGCTCGGCACTCTGGCAGATAATTGAGCTTCTGAATCAGATCCTGAGTGACTGAGTGACAATAGAGAGGCAGGAGTGGTGAAGTTGTGCAGTAGCAGTTTTGGAGGATGAGCAGAGTTGTTTACGTGCAGATTATAATGGGAGCAGCTGACTCACACCTTTTCTTTTTTTTCATAATTACATCTCTTCTCTAACCTTTTCTTCTCCTTTTAATCTATTCTCTCTTTCAAAGAATCTGTCTGAAAGTTAAACCATTAAATAAACTGTTTTCCTGTATTTTTTATACTGTTACTTTGCCCATAATCATAATAATATTAATACAATCTGTCAAGCTCAGTGAAACGACTGAAACACGTTGTGATTAAAGTAACTTCAGGTGGTGCAAAGATTCTGGGGAAGGCAGGAAAGAGCAGAAGGGGCTGATATACTGTTTGCAGTAAAACGTTGGAGGTTAAAGCAAGGACACTCAACATCACATTTCTCTTTAATTAGACAGGGCTGCAGTCTATCTGCCATAGCAAGAGCACAGAGAAGAGCCAAACAGCAGCACCACATGAGAGGATGGGAGTAATGAATGTCGGCTGCTCGTCTGCCACGTGGTTCTTTCACTTTTGGACACCAGTCCTGTCTCTTCCTTTAACTTAAAGTGTATAAAATGATCCGCTCTCCTAATGTTTGCTGTGTCTGCTGCGTTACCTGTCGTACTGCGTCCTTTCTGCTTAGAACTGGATACCTGCTGTATTCAACCACATGTGACCAGTTCAGCCCCTCATTTTTATTTCTCTTTTTTTCACTTTTGCCTAATCCGAACTGCCTAAGACCTGGCAGGATTTGTATGACAAACATATATTCCTACCAAAACTTTAAAATAAAGTTCAGTAAACATGACCACAATTACGCGGACTAAAGAAATTTAAAAAATGACAACGTTTGATACAGGAATAAAAAGAAGTAAAGCAAATAGTTATTATTATAGTGGATGTTTATGGAAAACGATCCAAAGATTTCCAAGGAGACAAGCAAACTCTTCAATAAAACACACCTTACAATCTGTTAGGACCAAGTGGTTCAGTCTGAGAGGCCTCAGGTGAAGCTAGAGGAAGAAAAGAGGGAAAGATTTGATTCATTCTTCATAAATAAGCTCTGGACTCAGAGCATAAAGAAAAAAAGTCAACTTCCTCTCATGGGAATTGATTTAGTTGTTTTGGAGTCTTGTCTTTATGTTCCTATTTGTTAGCAGCACGTTTCACACTTGTTGCAGGGCGATTATAATGTACACCACAGCATTTTTCAGCCTCTGTAGGATTATAACCTCCTGGTCCTGCAGGAGCACAATGTCTCAGTGAGAGAGAGCAAACTTCACAGCTGCTTTATGCACTGGTGCTGATGCACTGGAGGACAGTCAGCTCTGTATACCTTCCAACTGGACGGTGGAGAGACAGAAGAAAAGCAAGCAGGGTGAGGATGAGGAGGAAGAAAGGGGGCGCATCTGCAAACAGGTGTAAGCTGAAATCAGTTTCACCTCCTCAGCTCTGGTATTGTGACACCAGGGTCGGCTAACTGTTAGGTTGGGTGGGTTTGACTCTTCCAGAAAGGATTGCTCCATCTCTCCTGGCAAAAGCATAAATTTAGTTTTTGTATGTGTGAGTTTTCCAGGTTTCTCACATGAGTGGAGCCACTGATGAAGCCCTTTAAAATCCCAGAATCACTAGTGTGCCCCCCCCACACCGGGTCAGTAATTAATAATAAAAATCGTGTCAGTGGAACAGCTGCCTCTGACATCCGGTTGCTCCTCTCTGTCTAGGCTGTGTCATTCATGCCTTTGCAGTCAATTAAAGCTATATTACCGCTGTGCAGTGTGATCCATCAATTAAGCAACATGTGAACACAAAGCGATACAGTACAGCTTGACATTTTCCAGGCTGCACTTTTTTGTTGATGTGACGGTAGGGTGGTCACACGTGGCCCACGATTAAGCTGTACAAAGTGCCAGGTTTATAGGGGAACCCACGAACGTGGAAACACACACACACAGAAGAAAGGCCTGTTTGTGGCGCAGTGAGTAAATCACTGTGTCTGATATCTTCATTTGAGACAGGGGGCTGATCACCGCTCGTCCTGCTTGTTCCACATTAACTCATTATCACACGCGCTCACTCCATTAATTCTCCCGCTTTTATTAGCTGCAGGAGCGCGCGCGCGCGAACACGCGCACAGTGGGCCGATGACAGCCACTGCCTCTACCTCATCTGACAGCTAATGGCTTCATTAGGAGCAGCGTGTTAATTGGCTGACTTTAGGGAGACGCTCGTTAATGAGGATAAATAGATTCACACCTGAGCGGGGCGCTACCCAGCCACAGCAGCACTGTGGGAGCCGTGGAAGAGACGCGAGTGTGGGCTGCAGATACGACTGCATCGGTTTGAGTGAGCG